AACACCCTGCACCCCCACCAGCAGCCCAGACCCCTACAGGGCTTGGGGGGGAGAGGTCTCTGACCCCTGCGCGGGACTTTAGCTGTGCAGCTTAGATGGACCATAAGCCAAGACACGGACACAGAGGGGAAGTCCCGGTGGGAGTGAAGGGGCCAGGGACCCACACGCAGAGGGGCAGGGCGGGATACACGAGCAGGGAGCCTACCTGGGAGGCCAGGTCTGCCCACTGGGCGGGTGCGGAGTCGTGCAGGGTCACAGACTTGACCCCGCCCAGGATGATGTTCTTGGCGATCTCCACGCCCAGCCCCCGCAGCCCCGACACCAGGACGCTGGCGTTTTGCATCCGTTTCATGGCCTCGTGGCCCAGCACGTACCTGGGGGGAGCACATGGTCAGGCCGGGCCTGGCGCGGGTGCCTCAGCCAGCCCACACCGAGAGGCCCCGGAGCTGGGGCCCCACCACACATGACCCGCAGTCCAGCATCCTCCCGAAAAGGGAGAAACAGCCTCTGTTCTGACCAAGCTCTGGGGGGGCAGAGGGCCCCTGGGGGGCCCCCGCGCTGGAACTTACAGCTGCCTGGAGTACAGGCCCTCATCAATGTCGGCGTCGCTCCCATTCTTAGCCATGCCCTGCGAGCAGAGAGGTCAGAGGTCAGGGATGGCAGGTCGCTGTGGCCCTTCCAAAGCCCCCAAAGCCACTGGGTGGCCAGCAACCGCAAGGTTTACAGCCAGCCCCAGCGGGGCGGCACGTCACCTGGGGGCACCGCCGGGCAGAGGGTGGGGAGCAAGGTGCCCCAGAGGGATTCCCCAGTGCCACCCCGCTGATTGGGGAACACCCGCAGCTGGGCGTGCGGTTCTCCTGGTGGTGCACATGGCACACGCCTCAGTGCACAAGTGGGCAGAGGGCCCCCCAGACTCACGTTGGTGGGCGCTGGGCGTGGGTCACTCGGAACGGCGTTGCCAGAGGAGCAGTTCGAACCCGTCTTCGGCTCAGATCCAGACACGCGGCGCTTCTTGGACAACGGCGAGCTGGACATCTGGGGGCCAAGAGGGAGGTGAGGACCCTGCCCACAGCCCCCAACAGCCAGCTCTGGGGACCCACGTGGCTACAGGCTACCCGAGCGGAGCCAGCGGGGGGGGTGGGGGTGGGGAGGGGGCGCTCTGGAGGCCTCTGATGCAGGGAGGGGCTCTCCCCGGAACGGCCCGGCACTGCGGGGGATTTCCAAGCAGCTGTTACCCAAGTGTCCCCAGCAGTTCCTGGAGCCTCCCTCCAGAGCCAGTGCTGGGGCCAGGCCGGCCTGCAGTGACTCAGCTAGGACAGTGACTCATTTCAGAACCCAGCTCCGCCCTGGGCAGGCCCTGAACTCAGCACTTCCAGAGGGGGGACCCCAAACCGGCTCCCTTCCCCCCAAGGCTGAGGGACCCCACACTGCCCCCTCCTGTCCCAGAGCCAGGGAGCAATCCCAGGCGTCCTGGCTCCCAGCCAGCTCGCCCCGGCTAAGCATCACGCCATGTGCTCTCACTCCATGGCGCCTTGCACTGCCCGTCTGGCAGCACCCCCTGCGTGGGGCAGACAGCTGCACGGGGATGAGAGCGGCGCTTCCCGCCCCCTCGGCTGGCACCCAGGCGCCATCCCTTCGCTCCAGGATGGGGCTTCCCCCGGCAGCGCTGCCCGTTAGGGAAAGGTGGCTCGCCCCCAGCCTGAGCAATCCCAGAGGATGCGCCCCTGACCCAGAGAGGAGATGCAGCCCCCTCCGGGCCAGGGCAGCCGGGAAAGAGCCAGCCAAGATGCAGCCACTTCTGGGCTGCGGCCTCAAAGCTGGGCACGGCAGCACAGCACAAGGGCTTGGGACAGGAGGAGAATCTGGGTTCAAGAGAGCCAGAGCCAGGTGTCTGCTCGGAGCTGGGGGGATTCTGGGAGGAGCCGCGTCTCATCAGAACGGCCAGACTGGGTCAGACCAAAGGTCCAGCCCAGTGTCCTGTCTGCTAACACGGGCCAATGCCGGGTTCCCCAGGGAGGGAACACAACAGGGAACCCTCACGTGATCCCTCCCCTGTCACCCATCTCCAGGCAAAGGGAGGCTAGGGATACCATCCCTACCCATGTCGGCCAGAGGCAGCTGCCTCATCGGAAGCCAAGTGCAGGAGGGAAGCAGCTGCAGGGTCCCAGCAGCGGTCGCACCAGGGAGAAAATCCACCTCTGCTCCTATTCACAAGCCCCCTATTCACGAGTCCCAGAACGGCCGTGTCATGCCGGGAGCTCCCATTCGGCTCTCTGCCTGCCGCAGTGACAGCTGGGTAGGGAACGGCCCTACTAATGACAGATCCCCTGGCAATTAACCGCCGCAGGGGGCTGAACCCCAACACCCCCCACAGCAGGTTTCTCAGGGGGCTCCCGGTTGAGAATTTCACTCAACACTGAAGACCAGACTCAAGTCCCCAGCAGACGGCCGACGCTGAAGGATCCAAGCCGTGCTGCCGAGCCAGCTCAGGACACAGAAACTCTAGGGGGCTCAAATAACCAACCCCCTCCTCCCCCCAGAGATCCCACGAGCCCCACGGCGAGACAGACGAGCACGCAACAGCGACCCCAGCTGCTCAGTCCCTGATCGCCCAGGGAAGTCAGAGCCGTCTAGTTGGGACAGCATAACCCCTGGTGGGGGACACCTTAATCCCGGAGTAGGGATAGAATCATAGAATCATAGAATAATAGGACTGGAAGGGACCTCGAGAGGTCATCGAGTCCAGCCCCCCGCCCTCAAGGCAGGATCAAGCTCCGTCTACACCATCCCTGACAGATGTCTATCTAACCTGTTCTTAAATATCTCCAGAGAGGGAGATTCCACCACCTCCCTTGGCAATTTATTCCAATATTTGACCACCCTGACAGTTAGGAATTTTTTCCTAATGTCCAATCTAAACCTCCCCTGCTGCACTTTAAGCCCATTACTCCTTGCCCTGTCCTCAGAAACCAAGAGGAACAAATTTTCGCCTTCCTCCTTGTGACACCCTTTTAGATATTTGAAAACCGCTATCATGTCCCCCCTTAATCTTCTTTTTTCCAAACTAAACAAGCCCAGTCCATGAAGCCTGGCTTCATAGGTCATGTTCTCTAGACCTTTAATCATTCTTGTCGCTCTTCTCTGGACCCTTTCCAATTTCTCCACATCTTTCTTGAATGCAAGAGTGTAGTCGATTAATCCATAAGCAAAAGCAGATAGGTGAACGCAACAGACTACACGTATTTCCCGCTCCCTGCCAGTACAGGTGTTGCAGGCTGGCCAGCAGCCTGGCTCAGTCCTGGCTTTCAACGGGTCCAGGACCCACCTCTGCTGTGGCTCTGCATTTAAAGCGTATTAGAAGCCAGGTGGGCAGGCAGCCTGGCTCAGTTCTGGCTCGTGCCAGGGCCAGGAGCTCAGACCTCTCCCTCCTGGACAGGGGCTGCCTAGGGACTATAGAATAGTCAACTAACCGATAAGAATTCATGAGGTTAATCGATTATTCAATTAACTGATATTTAACATCCCTAGTCTGCAGCTGATTATTCCCTCCCCGGGAGGAGTTAATAACAATAAGACTCTGGTGGAACCTCAAGGGCTTTTACAATCAGTCATTCATGAAATTTTCTAAATCCCCCAGAAGGTGGGTCAGTATAATTTTAGATGGGGAAACTGAGGAAAGGGCAGGGGGACTTGCTCAGGGTCATCTGGGGCAAAGCCAAGAATAGAGCCCAGCTGTCCTTACTCCTTGTCAGTGCCTGGCTAGCTCACACTCCCTGAGTTTTCTAGCTGAGGTGGTGTGACGTTCCTGGATTGGGAGATGACCATTCAAACCATCGGTGCAATCACTGGTATATGTTTGCACCAGATGGGCCAAGGGAGGTGTCTATACTAAGCTGCTGATTCTGTTTATGCTATTCAGATGCATGGATCCATTTTGTGTTGGGACCTGACCGGTGCTGAACCACAGAATTTGCCAAACCACGGGAGGTCAATATTGTCTGGCAGCATGGCCAACGCTTCCACTGCTTCCTGGGCTCTTAGAAGCCATTTCGGGGTAAATTAGAGCTAAAAAACAGCACAGAACCCAGAGAGCCAGGACTGGTGGTTGTAAACAAACTTTATGGGACCATGGGAAACTTGGCAACACCCATGATAAGTTGCCATCCGGCGAACTAACATCATGCCGGACCACGGAGGTTACCGCACCAGAGAATGCCGGACTAGAGAGGTTCAAGCCACAGCTTTCCCACAAAAAACCAT